AAAGATGATTGTTTTTTAATGGTCTGAGTTAGTATAAAACTGTTTATTTTGTGTTGGGACTGAGGTTTCAGAGTAGGTTTAGTTTTTTAAAGTAGGGTTAAGGTAAGTCAAGATTAAAGCTGGAATGAGGGTAAGGTAGAGCTACGTTCGAATTTAAACGTGATAAATCAGAACTGGGCCAAAGAAAAAGTAAGGCTCAGATAACGCCAGGGCAAGATTAGGATAAGGTTATGAACAAGACTACGTGTGGTGCAGGATATGAGTTTTAGCAAGGTTATGGCAGGGGTTAGATAGGATTATGACTAGGGCAAGGTAAGGAATGGTATAGGGCTAGGGTAAGGCGGAACGAGGCTTTATTTAGAGCCAGGGCACGATTGGAATAAGATTATGATAAAAGGTATAGTAGGTCTAAGGTAGTATTATTGGTAGGGCTGTGTAGGGGTTTGAAATGGTTCTCACTAGAGCTAAAGTAGGGATACGATAAGGCAAAAGTAGGGCTTAGGTAAATCTAGGAAGTTAAATTTAAGGTCTAAAACAAGGACATGATAAAGACTATAGCACGTCTCAGATAGGGTTACTAGTAGAATTATGGTAGGGTTTGGATAGGGTTATAACTAGTGCTAGAGTAGGCGTAAAATAGAGTTAAAGAAATAATCTAAAGCCTGAGTTAGTCTTAACTTAATGTCATTTTTACTTCCTACTCAAAGTTCACTGTCTACTGTTTAAACCACACACACTTCACAACTGTTCTTTTCATTCTAATCAAAATATTTTTTGATTGTTGTTCATTAGGTCATTTGTGCTTTTGTTTTGTACCGATAGACGTGTCAAGGGCAAAGAAAAAAGTTTTTTTTGAGATACAGTAGAACTCCTGCATAACGAATCTATCGGGGACTTGAAATTTGTTCGTTATAAAGGAGTTTTGTTATACAGAAGTTTTAAATACACTGTGTAATGGTAGACGGGGATTCAAAAGTTGTTTGTTGTACGGGATTTTTGTTATAGAGGAGTTCGTTACACAGGAGTTTCACTATATACGCACTAGTTCAAGTATAGTTATCTAGTGTTTAGGGGGATCAATTTTGAGATATTGATCATAAATTGGGGAGGGAGGTGGGCTAGTCGAGGTTTCTTTTGTTTTTAGTCTAGTTGACTATTTTGTTTTGAGCAAGGCCAAAAAAATTTTATTTTTTATGAAAAAAAATAGTTTTTGAAAAAATTATTACCCTTGCGTCTATTACCCTACTTTTTTTTATTACCTCATACATTTTCTTTCGTTCATCGTTTTTAAAAACAAAAAATTAGTAAAATGGCTTTTTTAGTAAAAACCATTTTGCTCGCGGCGCCAATTAAAACGTACAAATTAAGGGAAATTAAATCAGGATCAAGATTGTTATTGTTACCGCGCTTTTTTGTTTTTTGTTATGTTAGTGTAAACGAATTCGGCTGATGAACTTTTGGTATTCGACAACACGTATATTACTCATTTCGAGGCTGTAAAGTTGCACTTTTGTTGGAAAAAGTTTTTTTTGGTTTTTGCAATAGGTTAGGGTGGAGTGAGGTAGGATAGAGGGTGGGTATTACGGTCTTAATTTTGATTTTGTTTTGGTCTTTGGGTATTTTTATGAATATGGAATTTGATTTTGATGGTATTACTGTTAACAAAAAAACATTTTTGATTATTTTTGAAAAAATTAGGACGCACAATCAAAATATTCAAATTAATTTTGAAAATAAAAAAATTAAAAATTGGTTTTTTGAAAAAATATTTTTTTTCACTTTAGGTACTACAAGGTTAGTAAATTTAAAAAATTTGTGTTTTGCCATTTCAAAACGAATGCCAAGGCTAATTTTTTCAAATTGGTAATAACACGTCACAAAGAAGCTTTAGCGGTTCTTTCTATAGATAAAAGTGTAAATCACGTTTCACGCTTATGCTTATGTGTAATATGTTTTGCATTCTGGTCTTTAAATGTTGAATTTTCAAATCTTTATGAAAAAAAATGTTTTTTACAAATGCTGTTTATACTTTTAATTTTTTTTTAATTTTATGAGGGTGCGCCAAAAGTTCTATTACAAAACTTTACCGGTCTTTTTCTCTGTGTTGCGGTTAAATTATTTAAATTTTTTATTTTAGCTTATTCTCCGTGGTTTTTGTTATTTTATAATCATAAAAGTTATACAATAATAGTCTTCATTGTATACCTTTTGGCGCATCTTGTAGGAATTCGTTATACAAGAATCCTACTGTTATATCTTTAGCCTTTTAAGCTAGTTGCATCACTTTCGTTTATTTTGGCTAGCCTTATCTTTTACATCAAAATCTAGATTATTATGAAATGACATAGACGAAAAAATAGAAAGAAAAACTGACACATTGCCAAAAAATAGTTTTTTTAAAAATATTTTGAAATTTTACATCAAACAGAGATGTCTTCGCTTATAAAAAATCAGATAAATACAGTGTTTTTAATGCTATTTTAGTATTAAAACTTTTTGTAAGATGCACTACTCTTCCCTACACTTTTATATTCATGCCTTACTCTACTCTGTCCTACCCTATCATATTCTACCTTGTCTTACCCTACCCTTCCTTAACTTCTATACCCTACCTTACTCCACTGTGTCCTATCCTATCATATTCTACTCTGTGTTACCCTACTCTTCCCTAACCTACCCTAGCCTACCCTACTTTATAACCGCTTATCCTAACGTACGCAGAGGTAGAAAAAGCCGAAGGATTTTTTTTGGAGCGGCGACTTTTTATTGAAAGTTGTAGTTTTTTCTTGGAATGCATTTTTTTATAGAAGGTGTAATTTTTTTGAAGGCCGGTAATTTTTTTCGAACCTCAGTATACCATTTCTTTCTCCCTCATTACCTATTACTCTATAAACCTTATCTTCTCTTCCACATAATTCTACATCTAACCCAAACTCTACCTATGGTTTAGATGTGGAAACCATCTTCGTGCCTAGTAATTACCATAAATCGCTTGGAAATGTACTTTTATTACGTTTCCCATCCTCTTCCCTCGCCCACCCCTAGAAATAAATAAAAGGCTTCGAACGATGGTCGAAAAACGTATCATCGTCGAAGCGGTAATTACGCCGAAAATTACACGTAGCCTATTGTGTGTGTGTTTTTGACGGAATTATTTCAGCCGGCTCTTCCTCCCCCCCCACCCTAGTGACTATTCTTTTTCAAGGTTCAAAGCCACCGCGCACAAATCTCATTTCGGCACAAGGTTTCCGGTTCCACCTGCTACGTTTTTTCGTGCAAAAATATTTACATGGGTTTACAATGAAGTCGGTTTGAAATGAGCAATGTACAGTAGTGTTTGAGTTGATTACGCTATGTAGGGTACTGTAGTAATGTTAGTGTGAAATAGGCTGTTGATTGATTACGGTATGTAGAATACTGTGAGGCTATCCGTGAAAGATGAGGGTTCTTTGTTTAATAATGTCATAGAAAGATTTGAGCTTATTAAGCCTAAGCCTTTCAAGCCTAAGATTATTAAGCTTAAGCTTGTTGATCGTGAGCCTACTAATCTTAGGCCTACTAAACTGATGCTTATTAAGGCCACTATTCAGAAGTTTTTTCCGCTTAAGTCTACAGAAGTCTCCTACTAAGCCAGCTATATGTACGGCTATTAAGCCTGAGACCGCTGAGTGTACGACTTTTAAGCCTAAGTGTACTAAGCTTGAATCTACTCAGCTTGAGCCTACAAAGCCTGCTAAGACTATGCTTACTAAACAAAAAACATAAGCCTACTAAGCCAGACCCTCCTAAATCTGTGTCTAGCAATTTTAAGCCTTCCTATAAACACTATCACTAACGTCTGATCAATAGAAGCTTGAAACAACTTCACCGGGGTTACATAATTTACATTTGTAAATGTAATTTGTAAATGATTTAGCTAAATAGCTTTAGAGAAATTGCAATAATTACTGTTGCGCAACTTCTCGTATGTAATTTTTACGATTTTTGTATATTTGCCTCGATGTAAAACAACCCACCAAATTACTGCCAGTGCTGGGATTTTGGTCAAAGTCTCTGCGGGGCACTTTTATCTGTCATACTTATAACTTTTTAAAGTTAAGCTTTTTAATATTCATTCATTTAAAAATTAAAAAAAAGTTTTATTTTACAATCTTTTTCATTTTTACACTAATTTATATAGTTCACAAAAGTGCATTATATCAAAACATCAAAGTTTTTCGCATACTTTCCTTTGATTTTCGCTCAATTTACGACAAAAATTTTGATTGATCATATTAAAAGGAGCCAACTTTCATTATGAAACCTTATCTTCTCTAACCACTCTCTCAAAACCCTCAACTCATTTCTTCGAATCAAAATTCCTTTTTCTCTAATCACTCTCTCGACGTTTAACGCTCTATCGTCCAATTTACTTTGTGATTTGGATGATTTTTGAATTTTTTCGAAATTTTTTCACGAAATCGAGAGCCGAGAAGGGCACAGCTCCTCGGGGCGGCTTCTCGCCGCTCTCGAGATTAATATTCAACTTTTCGAATAATATTTTACTCGGGTTTCAATTTTACGTTTGAGATGAAAGGGATTCAATGTTTATTAGTTTCATATGTTTTTTGGGTACAAGTGAATATGGCAGTTTTTGGTTGGTAATATTAAAGGCTAGGGTAGAGTAAGATATGGTAGCGTAGATCAGGGTAAAAGAAAAGGGTAGGGCAGGGTAGAAAAAGTTAATGGTAGGGTAAAGAAAAAAAATTACGTGGGTAGGGTAACGAAAAAAATTACAAGTAAGGGTAGGGTAAAAAAATATTTTTTATAAACTTAATTTTTTTTAACTTTTTTAAATTTTTATAAAATTTTTATTTTTTTGTTTCAATATCCTTTACCTCGCGTATTTTACCTTTTTTCCTAAAAACAAATTGTAAATTTTAATTTTTTAGAACTTTTCTCAATTCGTCCTCACCAAAACGGCTACAACATTGGAAAGACGCAGACGGCGTAGCGGAGCGATGCGCGCTGCTTTGCAACGCCACAATTCCTCCGCCTCAACGCCGGCCATTCCATCGACGGCGGCCGAACAATTGCACGTCAACTTGTATGTTTTCGATGGTCAACCGCCGTATAAAAGTGTTAAGGTAGGTAGATGAATGTGAATTCTTCAGGCATACTCGAGTTTGGGTTGGCAATTTTTTTTCTAAGGAATGCCAAAATAGGGTAGGGTAAAGTACAGTTTTTTAATGGTTTTTTACTTGAACCGTGAACGACAGGGCCAGACTAAACAGTGAAGTAAGGGTAGAGAAAGAACAGGCTTGGTCTAGCAAGTTAGGATAAGGGAGAGCAGAGTAGGGTTGGGTAGAGTACACTGCAATACTGTACAGTACGGTACAGTAAAGTAAGTCTAGTGTACATAAGTTAGGATAAGGTGGAGCAGAGTAGGGTAGGGTTGGGCAGAGTACACTACATTACAATACAGTAAAGTAAAGTGCAGTAAAGTAAGTTAGGACAAGAAAATATAGGGTAAAGCAGTCTAAGCAATTACAATGTAAAGTAGGCCAGATAAAACGCTGTAATCCATACGTAATATTTCCAAAAATAAAATTTTTAGCACTATTTTTAAATTAATTTCTGCTATATTTTTAAAATTTTGATTCTAAAATCTAAATGTAAAATGTTTAAAAATACAATTTTCTTATGTTGTCATACACGCGACATACATACGTAAATGTAGTTTGATCATTTTGCGAATTTACTTACACTTTTGACAGTTTTAACGAGTTTATTCGAATTTCGATAATGTTTTGTCACTTTTCAATTAAACGTACAAAAGGTTATTGTGACTAGACTTGAAAGGGGACAGTGACCACCACTTCTGGCGTCGCTAGGGGGGGAGGGGGGGGGGTGGATCCATATCCCCCCCCTTCCAGCCGATCCGAAAAAAAAATTCACATGTAGGAAATACTGTACACGAAAAATCATAGAGTAGGCTAGGGAAGGGTAAGGTAGGGTAGGGTAGAGTAGGGTAGGGTAGGGTAGGGTAAGGTGAGATAAGGTAAGAAAAAGCAGGGCAGGCTACGGTGCAGTAGCTCAGGTTAGAGTTTCAATTCGAACCCCTCGACCTCAGTTTATGTTCTTCAACCTCCGTTCTGTTGCTCCACGAGTATGTAACCATGTGTTCTTTGTAATCATCATCTTCTTCGTTTTCTATTTTTCACATCCTGTTGCATCCCCAGAAAAATGCAATGAATATTTTATTTTCACGATCCCACCAAGTTCGAAAAACATAATTTCTCGGAATGAGGCGTGTGTTTAATATTTGTCCTGAACCTTGGGCTTACACGTGGGCTTGAAGGTTGAGTTTGTATGGAGATAGGTTTATGTAGAAAAAAAATTTGAGAACACTGTTAATTAAGGAGAGAGAAAGCAAAGCAAAAAATATTTTTTTCGGGGGGGGGGTGTAAAATTTTTTTTTACTTTTTTTTTGATTTTTTGTTTGAAATTAACAGGGAGGGCTACGTTTAAAATTTAAAAAAAATTTATTACTACTCTCTCTTTTCTCCTCTCATCCTTTTTTGCTTCTCTACCACTACCGGCAACCTTGTATAGTAGTGCATAGAAACTTATGTACGCGCGAATTGCAGTAAAGAAAGTATAGAGAAACTTGTGGCACTTTATCTAACCATATAAGGTACCGTATTTTTCTTAAGTACGAGCCAAATAGATAGATTCATAAGACCACATTAGGTAGCAAACTTTCATAAGCGAGCAGAACATACATTCAGTAACACCGCTTGTTTATTTGTCTTTCTGGATCAGACATTCGTGCTATTGAAACCTCACGTGCGCTTTATTAATGCGTTCCGCCGAAATTGGATTTGTCATACTTTTCGTACTCGTGCGGGTTTAGTGAGGCTACAATTGTTGATCGTGACAAGTTTAATTATGATTGTGTTTTATCATTATGTTTTTGTTTTATGGTTAATCATAAGTTCATTGGAGGTTGTTCTATGGACTAGTCTGAAGTCTCGTTCTAGGACAATTATAGTATGATAGCATAAACTTTGTCACGATCATTAATTGGAGAAAATTGTATTTTTGTATGTGTCAGCGTGATGACATTTAACTTATTTTGTATTGAATTGCACGAACACAGAGGTGTGGAGTTGTTTTGTACAGTATTATTTATATTGTAATGTGACTTTTAGCTATTATAGGCATGAAAAAAAGCTGAGCTAGAATTTTTTTTAGCTTTTTATGTCAAGTCTGACGCAGTTAAATTTTTTTTTAAATTGGTTAAATGAAGAATAGCTTTTAAATGCATCACATATGGAGTAGGACCAGGGATTAAACTTGAGCTATAGCTATAATTATCGTCATGGCTATGGATGGATAGGGCTTGGGCTCTGGCTTGGACTAGAGCCAGGGTTGACGATAGGGTTAGCGCTAGGGATCGGGCTATAGCTATGGTTATGCCTTGAAGCAGAGTCAGAGTTAGAGCCAGAACGAGAGCTGGAGCCAGAGCTAGAGTGAGAGTTAGAACTGGAGCCAGAGCTGGAGCTAACGTCAAAGCAAGGCTAGGGATAGGACTAGCTAGGGCACGTTTGATCAAACAAATAGTATTGAAGCCAGACAAAAGCAATATTGTTATTTAAATTAGTTTTACTGGGAAAATTAATGCACTTACATTTTGTAGCGTTTGAAGTATCCATTAACTTTAAACTGTTCATAGCGAAAGTGAAATTGAAAAATTAAAAAATTTCTATAAAATCTAGATTTTTGTTTTTAAATTTTAATTGGGCTTTCTTTGATATTTTTTTAAATTTTAAATTGGCCTTGTTTTTTCGTTTTTTTAACTGTATGTTAATATAGGTACAGTGGAATAAACCGTATGTTGATACTTGGTACTTATATTGGTATAGATACAGTGGAGGCACTATTTGTTTATTGAGATACAGTATGTCTTTACAGACACTGTAGAGGTATTGCATGCCCATAGAGGTACAGTAGAGGTACTGTATGCCTATATAGGTACTGTAGGAACACTTTATAAAGTGCCGACATAAAGAACCCGCCATACTTCTCAAGAAGGTTCTGTAATTTCCTGTAAAAAATGGCGGGTTCTTTATGTCAGCACCTAATATTTTCAAAAATAGAACTTTCGTTTTTATTCTTATGAAATTTGTTCTACGCTCTCTATATATAACGTTGAAACGATGGCAGAAAAGTAAAACGGTTTAATGGGCGTGGCCGGCTCGGGATAAAGAAAATATTTGTCGGGATTTTCACTTTTTCGCAAATTTTTCCTGCGCCGAAACTTGTGGAATGTTTTGGGGCGGAGCGGAGCCGCAAAATTTGTCGCATTTGCTTTTATGTTTTGTCGGAAAAATGGTTTAAATCGGGACAGAATGTGCATTGAAAATGAGTTTTATGGTTTTAATTTTAGGTTTTATAAATTTTTTTTAAATTTTGTTGTTTGAAGGTACTTTATAGTACAGTGCTCTCTTTATATAGTGAACCATCTGTATAAGCAACTCTTCTTATAGTAAACAAGAAATTTAGCCCCGCCAAGTCAACTTGCACTAAAAAGCCTCTCTGTAAAGACAACACCCCTTATAGTAAACAAAAAACGTCGATCCTTTCGTGTTGTTTATATAGAGAGAGTACTGTACTATAGTTTTTTTCAGATAGAAATTTAGTTTGGGCGTAGGGTAGGGTAGGCCAGAATATGGTGTGACAGAAAAGTAGATTAAGATGTTAGGGTAAGGTAGGTACGACAGAGTAGTAGCGTAAACAAGGCAAGATAGGATAGTGTAAAATACGGTAGCGCATCGGAAGACATTCAAATAGGGAAGGGTAAAATGAAAGAAAGAAAAAAGAACTTTTAATATTAAAGACTTTAACGCCAATTTTCAACTTTTAAATTTTAGGTAACATTTCACTATATATTGGCAAAAAGACTATCTTTTTTAGTTTTTGAGCCTAGAAAACTTAAAAAATGTTTTTGAGAGCGCAAAGATCTTTAGGAAGAATATTGAACATTCAGCTGTATAAATAATGGATATCAATGAAATAAATAAGTAATGACAACACTTTTGATCGTGTTATAAGTAAATTGAATTTTCATCATAATACGGGTTATTGGGGCTCTAAATTTTTTTCATTTTTTCAAATTATTTTTGATTTTTTGAAAATTTTTAAAATTAGCCAAACTCAAAATTTTAAAATTTTTTAAATTTGTCAAACTTAAAATGTTAAAATTTTTAGTTTTTAAATTTTTTGAAATTTAAATTTTTTTTGCTTTAAAACTTTTTTTTACTAATATTTTTCGCTTTCGCCCGCTACAAAACCAAAGTTGTAAACATCCACCCCCGCCTAGTCTTATAAGTGCCATATTATTCATGTAGAATGCCAAAAATATAACTGTTCACAACTCAACCTAAACTGAATTAAAAAGTAATTAGTCGGTAGCAAAAATATATTTTTTGTTGTATTGTACGCACGCGAGTCGTGTGACTGACTTTGTAGTATTTATGTTCACCTTGAGAACACTTGAGTACTTTACTTTATGGATCCAAATTCATATTTTGTGTCATATTGGTTTAGTTATTGGTTTTCAGTTTAGTATTTTTCTTGTTTTAGATTTTTCTTAGGGTGGGATTTTAATTTTTTTAGTTTATGAGGGGGGGGATCTTTTAGCTTTTTGATGTTGCACTAGCCTTAGCATAGCTTTACTATTCGCCTTAGACCTAAAATGTTCTAAACTTAAATTTTTTTCAGATTGAAGTAATATCAGGCCGAACCCTAATCGACACGCTCACCCCTTTCCTAACCGAGAACGGCGTAGGTCCAAATCACGTTGACATTTTCGTTGAAACCTCAAAAACACCCCTCCCGGCAATAAGTCCAGCCGAATATTTGGTTGGACAGCGATTGACAATAAAGCCGAAACCAATGCATCAAGCGTCGATTGAAAGCCAATTCTTGGCCGCTTCGAATCTTACTGTAACTTCAAATGCGTCGCTAAGGAGTATTAACACATTGGTTAGTCATAGTGTTGATGAGGCTGAAATACGGTCGTTGGACGACAATGATACTGCTCACTTATTGCCTAGTAGCTATCATGATCGGGTAGGTGTTGGTTTGTTGTTTATAGTTTTATTAGGTGCCGTCATAAAGAACCCGCCATACTTTGCCTGTAATTTCCTGTAAAAAATGGCGGGTTCTTTATGTCGGCACCTAATATTAGAGGGTTTTAAAAAAGTTTTGTCGTCAATTTCCATTGCCTTATGGGGTAAACAACGACAAAACATTTTTGGCAACAAAATTTTTGATTTTAAAATTGAAATTTCAAAGTTTTGAAAAGTTCCAAAAAATTTAAATTTATATTTTCCTTGACCACCACCTATCATTCTCTATAAAAACCGTTCGCCAACCCCAAACACAAGAACGTAAACAATCGTATGTCCACTATTACTTCACAGTATTGTATGAGGAATTCAGGCCCGATTGGTCGGGATTAACGGCGCAAAGACGCGCAATTTTTGGACTTTGAATACAAACAAAACTCGCGTTAAGCTAGCTCGGTTTAGATATAGTTGAATCATTTTTAAATCGGTAGAGATTTTGGGCATCTTCAGGTAGGGTTTTGGGGGGTAGGGGCAAATTTTAGTGTAAATGTTAGTCAAATGAGCGCTTTTTTAAAAAAATTGAATGTAAGCTATAATATTTAGTAAAAAAATTGTTACTGTAGGGTATGTTAAGGTTTTTCTGGTACAATACGATATGACAGAGTATGTTACTTAGGCCAGACTTACAGCATAGCTGATGACGAGCTAAGGTCGAGACAAAATAAGGGTAGGATTAGGCCTAGAACTGGGGTTAGAACCGGGGCAATGGCCAGGGGAGCTAAAGCGAACCCTAGCGTAGGTCTAAGGCCAAGCTTAGGTGTAGGCTAAAACTAGGGTTAGGACTAAAGCTAGGGCTAAAATTACAGCTAGAACAAGGGCTAGCGTAGGGCTAAGGCCAAGTTTAGGAATAGAGCTAGGGCTAAAAAATAAGCCTACAGAATTTTTATTTGGTGCCGACATAAAGAACCCGTCATTTTTTACAGGAAATCACAGGAAAAGTATGGCGGGTTCTTTATGTCGGCACTTATAAAAACCTATTGAAAAACAAAAAAGAATTTTTTGCTTTGGGTTTAGCTTTCAAAACAATCTTGTTGAACTTTACATTAACAATAAGTATGACATAACTCTCTTCTACTTTCTATTATCGTTAACACATGTGTGGATTTTTTAATAAGCTTAAGTAGTTTTTTGGGTTTGTTGTTTGCTGTAGTTACTTTTCCTACTTCCCAGACGAAATTATGTGTTGATTAAAGAGATTATTATTAGGTTTGGGTTATTTTTCTTGCAAGACATTGCTGGACTGTGAACAGTTTGGTTTTGATTTTGTGGTCTGCGCCTTGTAGGACGAGTCTGGCTTGTCTTATTCTTACTTAAAAAACTTTTTTGTCTTGGTTTTTTTAATTTTTTTTATTTTCATGCCTTTTGATACCAAAAAATTTTTAAAAAAAATTTTATTAATTTTTTTAATTTAGCGAAAAATTTAAATTCTAAATTTCAGGCCTCCTCCTCACGCCAAAACCTCAATCCGATGAGTTTCTACGAGAATCAACAACATTCCACCGTGCCTCGACGCAAAGGCTCGCTGAATGTTGATTCAGCGCGCGAACACTCTCAAGAGGGTCGCGATGTTTGTCGGTTCCCGAGTCAGTCGAGTATGAGTGGAAGTTTAAACGGTACACGACGCATGCGTGCCCCCAGCACTTCACGGCGTATGATTTTGTTTGGGAAGGTAAGATTGAAAGATCGTTAAAAAGAATATTGAACAACAACGATGTTAATACATTAATATACATAACACTACGTATTTAAAAAACTATAAAGTACTTTATGATAAAGCTAAAGTAAGATAAGCTTGGGTATGTTAAGGTAGGATAGGGTCGGGTAAGTTAGGGTAGTGTAAGGTAAGGTAGAGTAGAGTAGGGTAAATTAAGGCTTTACCTCAAACTTTATACCTTATCATACAGTAACATCTCTCTCATTTCAGGAAAAAGAACGAGAACGCTTCATAGACCAACTAAACGCAACATACAGTATTTTTTCCGAATTACCGGTACCATCCTACCTCGACATTCCAGACGACTTTACCGATCTAGTCAAGCCAGAACTGATAACCGACCTACAAACCAGAAAGCATCAAGCTGCCATCTGGGAAGTTGTGACAAAAGAACGGCGCTATATTGTTATGTTGAAGATCATGTGTGATTTGCATAAAACTTTGTTAAATATCAAGTCTGAGAACTACTTGACTGAAATTGATGATCGAAGTGTGTTTTTGAATTTCGATGAGATTTACCAAGCCACATTGGACTTTTGGCGACGAGGCATTTTGCCTATGTTACAGCATTCGAGGTAGGATTATAAGACAAAGCTTTTTTTAGTTGTTTAATGTTTAAAAAAGTCTTGTTGTCGATTTGCACTGAATTATATAGCGAAAAACGACAAGACTTTTCCAAGCCGATCTAACTTTAAAACAGACCCCTAAAATAGCCAAAACGACATAATATTTGCAACTTTTAACCAAAATCTTATAGTTCCCAAAACTTATTGACCATTCCCGTAGGCGTGTAACTCAAAAAGCATAGTAAACACCGCGGAAGATGTTTACATCCGTTTTAACTTTGGAAAATTGATACCAAACTTCTTAAATGCAATCTCTTGTTTACGTCAAATGCGACATTTTACAACAAGCTAAAGTTACAATTTTAGCTATATTACAATTTTCGTTTGAAAAAATTTTAATTGTGCTTGACAAAATGCAATTTTTACTCAAAAATATTACAATTTTGAAGTAGAAGAATTGTAAAATGAAGGCAAAAAATGTAAAAGAGTGCGTGTTAAACAAGTTCAAATTGAGTTGTTACGAATGGAAGAAAAAAGATTGTAGTAATTAGACCGTAGACACCGGATTTCATAATGTAGAGCATGACCTTTGCATGTGTAGACAAAAAAATCTGGATTATCTGCATTAATAGTTCTACTCTAGCCCTAGCCTTGGCGTTAGCCATAGGCTTATCTCTAGCTTTAGCCATATGCTTGTCTCTAGCTTTAACCATATGCTTATCTCTAGCTTTAACCATATGTGTAATCATAGCCCTGGCCTTATGTCTATAGTCTTACCCTACTATAGCTTTTCCCTTGAAGTCAAAATCAATCTACTACACTAACTAAAACATCACTAAAATCTCAAATTCCAGATCAACCAGAAGCCTGTTAGACTGCACATTCCTACAAGACGCATTCGCAGACATTCAACTGTGGTCCCAGTGCTACATCAAGTACCAAGTTGAGCATGAAAAGTCTCGTGAATACATAACAGCAAAAGCCAAGCAAAACGAGCAATTCGCCGATTTCATTCGCTGGATCGAAAATATGCAGTGTTTCGACCGCCAAAAACTGTTCGATGTCATGTCCTTCCCCTTCCAACATCTAACACGGTACCCGCTACTCGTGGCTACATTAGAAAGAACGGCCTTAAAAGCGGCCGATCGGGAGCAAATCAGGTTGATGATCGAGAGTGCAAAAGAAGCTACCCATAGCTTTAACAACTTTGTCGGCTTGAACCTCTTAATGGAAAAACTACACACCATAATGGGTCAGATTGAAGGTTGCGAATTTGTGGATTTTGACGAATATCAAAAAATGATCGACCCCAGGCCACAAATGATCAACCTACTCCTACCCATGCCTATGCTACCAATCCGAGCCTACCGTGAATGCTTCCTCCGTAGCGACCTTAAGCTAAGGGAATCGAAAAGCAGTCAGAAGATTGATGCTCAGATTATGTTGTTCACTGACATGTTGTTGATATGTAAATGCCTGCGACGTGATAAATTTCGACTGCTCAAGCCACCAATTCATATTACGAGTCTCTATTGCAAGGCGTTTGTAGATAGCAGTACTGGCTTCTATTTAATGTCATACGATTGCTTTAACGTTTGCGTTAACTATTTGACGTTCTTTACAAATTCGAAAGAACAGACACAAACAGTGATCGAACAGATTGAGTTCGCGAAGAGCAACTTCAAGGTGATTCAGAAGGCCTCAATGGACGAACGATGTAAGTTTGGTTTCGAAATCATTTTGCTTTGAGTTTGAAATTCATTTGAAGTTTCAGTGTTAGCTTTATTTTTTATTTTTGGTACTATTTTATTTTTTAGTTTTGTGTTTATCTTGTGTCTAACATAGCTTAATGATTAAGTTAACAACCTTAATGTGACCTATCTAATAAGTTAACAAATGTTTTGTTTCATCTAACCTAATATTGTGAATTTTGTTGTAATAAAAGAATGCTGTAAAAGTCTTGTCGCTTTTTAACGTTTGTGTCAATGGAAATTTACGACAAAACTTTTTTTAAACTTTATATTTTAACCCAAAATTGCAAATTTTGTTGTGGATTAGACCAGTGAATAAAGGGGTATTTTTGATTTGGATCAGGTAAAAAAGTGATAAGAGAGAGCAGGGTAGGACAGGGTAGATGGGGGAAGAATCAAAAATTTTTAATTTTTTTTGAAATTTAGAAAGGAGGGCCGCATTTAACTCTACCCTATCCTAACCGGCTCCGCCTTACCCTACTCTAAATTGGCCCTATCTTCCCCTACCCAATCTTACTCTGCCATACCCTAACGTTCACCCTTGTTCTTACCACTCCCAGCCTTAACTCTAATCCCAAAACTCTAATTATTGTTATAAACCTAACCCAATGTCCATTTTTATTATGTTTTGGCTAAGTCGTTGTGCTTGTAGATTATGCGTCCAACACAATACCAAGAATGAACGATGGAAAACAACTCGACAGTTCGTTGTATCATCGTAAAAGTCATAGTATGGATTCACAGGCCTTGGCGCATCAACAGAGTAGAAATAGTAAGTGGTTTAAAACTTTTTAAATTTTCAATTTTCTTTGAAAATTTTAAAAGTTTTAAAATTTCGTACTGTATTGAGTACAATGTTTTTGACCTTTTTAAGCTTTGGAGCATTATTTTCTTGTCCTGTTACAGTAATTTTGTTGTATTTTAGTTGATTATTGGTTGATTTCATGATTCTTATTGTCAACATCATTATATTAATTTTATTCATTTCCATTTTTTTAATTTTGGGTATTTTTTTACTGTAATTACAGTATCCTCTCAGTATAAGAAAGACCTAATGGCACTTAAAGCTAGTCTTAAAAATTCTAAAAAAACATAAAAAGACAGTATACCTACTAAAATATCAGACATACATCAATATCTCTCCTTTTGACTTACCTTGTAATAATTCTTCTCAAATTCCAGACGGCCTCCGCAAAGAATCCGAAGCCTCATCAGTAGACCAACTAGACCGCCGTGGCTTGGACCGTCATCCTCCTCTTCCAGCCAAACCACAAAAAATCCTTGTCGACGATGATCCGGACCTCAATATCAGCCCAGATTCATGTGTATCAGCCCTCGTAGCCGTGCCTCCACTTATGATGAACTCTACAACTTCTACCGGAGAATCCTCACGATGTAACACACCAGTGACGCCAAGTGGGGATTCACCAACGTCCGGAAGAAACACTGGACGAAGGTTCGAGAAGAGATATCACACAGTTAGTGGAGAGTGCGATTCAGCCAAAGGAATGCCGTTTAATGCTGGTGTGATTGGACAGAACATTGTTAAGAGGTTCTCGTGGAACGTTGGATCACAGAGGAAGATTAGTAACAAGTTGCATGACACCGTTAATGTGAGTTTCGAGTTTTGCTTGGATAGGAAGTTCAAAGAAGGGCCTAAGATCAGGGCACCCCTTGACCAAATTACCAAAAAAAATTTTTTTCGGAAGGGGAAGGAGAAGGGGGGGGGGGATAATTTTAAAGAAAAATTTTATTGAAATTTTGCAAAAATTTTAAAATTCAAATTTCGGTCGAAATTCCGTGTGGGTTTTGCGATATTTTAGAGCAGGGTCATTCGACCGGTTCCTCGATATATAAAACGAGATGTAGCGGGGATAAAGGAATGGAATTACAGAAATGCGAAGGTCGTTTTCAAGGTGGAAAATCTCGAATTTTGGATATGAATTCAAAAAGTGATTAATTAGGGAAAAAAATGTTGAAATATGAAAAAAATTAAAATTTTATATACGAAAAAAATTAAATTTCGCAAAAAATTTAAAACTGGTAATCTTAAAATTTTAAAACGACCTTATCCTGACCTAACTTACCATTCCCTTTCTCATCTTGCCCTACCCTGTCCTACCGTACCCAATCCTCCCTACTATACCCTACCTTACCGTACTGTACCTGCCCTGTCCTACTGCTCCTTAGCTCAACCCTACTCTTACCGTAATCCCATCCTGCCTTGTAAATTTAAATTTAAAATTTCAGAAAGCCACGTTGGGAAACCGTCGATTCAGCCAATCTACGACAGAATCCAGTGACTCTTTTGGCTCATCAACTTCTGGAATATCGTCATCCTCCTCACATGACAATCATAATCTACATCAATCCAACGATGAGCTTCTTAACAGTAATATTGCCCGAGTTCGAATTGATGAAATGTCGGAGATGAACCATTACCACTTCCAAGGCCGTAACAGTACCAATAGCACTAATAGCAATCAAAGTTCACACGATACGCTACGGTCTCAGGAGACGTTACGATGTCAAGATACGTTGAGGTCTCATGATGCTCAACGAGTACATGAGACGAACAGAACACGTGATACTCAAAGACAACACGACGCCCAACACTCCCATGATACCCTACGTGATGACAATAGTAGACTAATATCTCTCAACGTCAACGAAGATATCAGAGAAGAAGAAACTAGTCCAAAACCGGTCGAAAAACCGCCCCCAGTACCGCACGAACCACCGCCAGACACGGAGAGTAGCTCCAGTGACGGTGAGAACGTGGAAAACAAAACCAATATACAAAGGAATGGCAATAAAAAGCTACAACATCAACAACAAATCAGCCAGGGAGATGAGTTGGAAAAGTTTTTAAAAACCGACTCACAGACTGATTTGTTCAGGCTTATCCTCAGCGATGATGTCGACACATCGTAAGTTTCATTCCAGTTATTAGGCAACAAAATATATTGTAAAATACGTCAGCCTTTTTGCGGTATATCTTGTTTAGCTAGCAATTTTGCAAAATATTGGTGCCTAAAACAATGTAAATTCAATTATTAATTTCAGAATTGTCTAAGTTAGTTGCCAAACCCCCATAAACCAACAATAAATACATGTTACAACTGCTCAACAACCAAACACGCCTCAATTTCACCAACAATAACACCAAGCACATTTCCATTACCCAAGCATTTCCACTAATATTGTTATAGTATTTAAGTTCGTCGTCTTTCAATAATTATAATATTATTATCTCGTCCTGTGTTCTTCACACCCACCCCGTAATAACACCATAAAAACTTCTATCGATTGTAAATTTTTTTTCGAAAATCTTGCCAAAACCAATATTCATGTTCAGTGTATCATAATATCGAGTTATGATGAATGTGTCTAGTTTGATTATTCATTTCTGTGAAAATAAATAAATTTAGATAATAAAGAAGGGTACTATCGATTGAAATTACAGGTAAAAAACCTAATAACGGTTATGTAACCGCTTAGCGCAAAATTCAACAAAAAACCGTCCAAATACGAGCCATATTATACTGAACCAAAAGTAGCGGGACGCTTTTAATCGAAAATGTCTCGCTACTTTTGGTTCAACCTGATAAAAACATAAGAATATATTTCATAAAGAAAACTTTCACTTAAAGACATAATCAACAAAAATTTATAAAAATATTTAAGAAAATACAACATATGCAACAACAAAGTTAAAAACACAGCTCAGGTTACAAAAGCAACAATTACAAGAAAACAAAATAACATATACACACAAGTACAGAGCTAAATAAAAGGTACAACAATACATACAGAATACAACAAGTTTGGGGACAAGGCACCTACCAAAATTTCTTGGCCATGTGAAGGAAAAATTTTAGGTGTTTCTCGGGTTGTGCGAGATTACTAGTCAGCAAACACGACAAATGAATCCGAGCTGACATTGACAAGCTGTGGAGTGATAAATATAGATAAACCCTTTCAGTTTTAATGTAAAATTAATTTTTACGTAAAATTGTTAAACTTTTAAAATTTAAAACTAATGGTCTTGTAACTATCAAAATACTATCATTTTAAATCCATGTCCTTTCGTCCAAATCCAGTTTGCTCGTAGTACTAGGATAGCCAGCCACACATTCCGTAGTCCATTCATTGCACCATGACCTGCACCACCACAAGCACCATAAAGTACTAACCACAACCATATAAGATAATTGACCGATTATGCAAATGCCACTACGAGTGTGGTTACTCGTTTTCGTCCGTGCACCACAAACACGGCCCCTCTTGCGAGGTGTACTTCACGCGCAGGATCGCTCCTCCTACTAATCCCATAAGAGACGTTACAGTGTGGCCCTCACCCCACACCACCAGCGGCCGAAATGTCGTATCTCATGCGACTATATCAGATATAGTGCTAACCATACCACAAGATACGACAAATGGTACTAGCCGTTTACAACTTCCGCAGAAGAAGGGGAACAAGGTGGTTTACGCTCTTGGACACGTACATAAAAGGCTTTAAAAGTTTATGAAGATCCATTTGACCATTATCATCGTAGCTCCATGGATCACGACGACCATGTTCGCTGTTCTGTACCATCATTTGTGCCAGGCTCCATTTTTGTCTTCTGACGTCGAATAATGCTCAAATAACAGCATTTTGATAAAGCCAAGACCTTTTTTACCGATTTTAAGTTAAAAATTTGGTCAAAAAGTTTATAGAATAATATTTTTATAAAGAATCCGCCTCCACTTTCACCCCTCCCTCCACCCTTCATCTACCACTCTCTTCCTCCAAAACACCCTATGCCCAACACCAAAAGTACACTTTTGCACCCTATACAACTTGTCAATGCCATCTCTGGCCATTATCGTGTTCCCCAATGTTCACCAAGCACAACCTGCTTGAACACGGCCTTGGCCAGCGAAACCACAACACATAGCCATGAATTGACAATAAAGACATGTTTAACGACTAGGCTGATCAGTAAGTCTTGAGAACCCTGGGACCGAAGCCTCGTCGAGACTCCAGATTCGCCAAGTTCCTCAACACTCGTTGTCCAGTTGACTAGTCAACGTTGTTAGCCATTGTGACGTCGTTCCAGTTCAGTTGAGCTCCATTGTGCGTCAGCGGGTCGAAGGCACGTCTGAATAGCAAAGATTAACTTTTTTTTGACAAAAAAAAACCAAAAGACAAGTAAAACCATATTATTATGGTCATAAAGTTCATAGAAAAGTAACAAATTACAATTTTTCAACAAAATTACAGTCCAAAATACTTTCTTTTGCATACGAATACCAATTTCGAAATAACAAACTTACTCTTAGAGACGTCCTTTACACTGCGGCTCCACCGTCAAATAAAGCAACCCGTGATGCTGCCCTGGCCGATTCGGATAATCCTGAAAAACAATCAATAACTACTCAAGCTACGAAATAAATCAGCTAAAATTATAAAACAATCGTCACTATTAGCCCTTTTAACATTCCTTTTCCCATCAAAAAGATTATAGCCAGTTTCTATTGTAAATAAAGTTTTTTCCGTTTCGCCATATACCTAAAAACATAACAAAAACTTACATTTATCCTCAATTAGGGCCTGATCTCCTCATTGGTAGTATTGGACGTGTCCCATCTGGTGTCGCAGGGATCTGAAGCAAGCTTCAGTGTCCGTCACGAATGCTTGCTGTCCATCGTAACTTGGATGGAAGGCGAGATTGAGTGAAACTCAAGCCCGGCGATAAAGTTCTCCCAGCAAATCTCCTATTAGTAACTTTGTATCGATGATTCTGATCAAAGTTCTTTGAATGGAATGCGAACTTTCACTAAAAATAGTTAAATTAGACCTAAAGTTACCCTTAAATCGAAACGATTTCAGAAACATAAAATTTTAAACCTAAAGACATAGATGTGAAATCAACTTACGTTACTAATAATCCGTGACATAGACTACCATAATATCTCCATTGATCTACTTAGTGCGGCATTACCCGCGCCGTGAAAGATGCTCCTGACTCCCCAGTTCCGGCATCACGTGATTTTATGTACGTTATCCAGCAATAGGTAGAGGCGTTTGTGAAATCACTTACGCGCTGAAAATAATTTAACTAACATAATTTATCAAAATATTCTGAAATCAGTTATCTAAACTATCGACAAACTTCAATTTTAAACCTAAATTATGATAACTGTTACCTAAAACGTCAAGTGTTTCCAAAAATAAAGCTAAAAAGCAACTTAACTTCGCAATATTATCCAAATCAGAAAGAGATATTAAAATACCATAAACTTACATTGCCTTTTATTCACGGCGCCTTCGTGAGTATAGATCCAACTCCGGTGTGGACGGAGATGCACATTGTAGACATGCATCCAAATCCAACGTCATAGACAATCTGGCTTCCTGCCTCCAAACAGGTGGCTCATTTAGATGTAAGCCCAACCAACAAATTGTGGAAATCTGTAATTAAGTTAACATAATTTACAAATTGAAGTTTTAACGTGCAAAACGAAAAATTAAAACCTCAGCTACCTAAACCACCAAATTTCGTCTAGAAAACAAATTCAAAAACCAAAACATGACCAAATTTAGAGAAAAAGCCTTCCAAAAGTTTCATCTTCACAATTACCACCTAAAAATCAAAGAAAGCAACTGAAAAACTTACGTTGTTCCATGTCTATGACGTGACTTCCTTGAGCAATCCGGCCAATTTTCGACGATGAGGAGGAGAACAGCGGTGAACTGGTGTGCTGTTCAGTTGGAGGACTTGGATTAAAACCTGATTGGCATGTAAGTCCAAGTTGCTTGCTCTGAAAAAGTCAAAATGTTTAAAAATCTCGTGAAAGTTACATTATTTTAGCAAAAACTTTAAGAAAACACGACTCGCAAAGCCTAAACACAATATAAAACACGAAAAACAACAAAAAATCAAACGAAAAGTGACAAAATCAACAAAAAACAACAAAATAACTAGAAAAAACGTCCACCAACCTTTCAAGACGAGAACACGTCGAGAAAATAAAATTCTCACGGCCAAATGACACGTAGAAATGCGGCCTACGGTGCTTTCCCGCGAATTTGAAATGCAAAAACAAAAATTGTTCAAAAAATATGTAATCTTCTAAAAAACCTGTCGCAAACTAGAGTTGAGAAAAGGGCTGGATATGGTCCAAGACGTTCAAGAATAGTGTAAGACGATTAACAAATGTTTAAATGTTGTTTATTATTGGTTTATTTTAGTTCTTATGTTGCTTTTGCGTGTTTTTTCAGGCTACAACAATATCCGGCTTCGAACTTAAAATTTAGAGACAAAAATTGGATCAAATGTGTTATCCTTTCTAGGATGAGTAATATATGACCTCGATGTAATTAGTAGTATATTTATTCTAATGAATACGAGTATTTGAACAGTATAGTATTTCTAGGTAACGATGAATAATAGGATTAAATAACAATCAGTTCACAAAAATTAGAATAGAGTTAGTAGAATACGAATAGTATTCTGAGTTGTTGGGGCCCGTCAGTATGGTGCTCGGCGGTCCTTTTATACTAGTGTTGCGCAGTGATGCAGTGATTGATTGATCACTTCCATTGATGTATGTTGACAGGAGTTCGGCGAACGGGGTCTTGTGATTGTGCTGTATGATTGACGATAGCACGGGTTTGTGGACTTTGGAATGTACTGTATTTTTTAGCGTGCATCTCACGTGCATTACGTGGGTGACTGGCTGGGGTCTCGTTTATCGAATATTACAATATCCGCGGGCTAGAGAAATCGCGTCTCGCGATTCATTTGATAGCTGTATTAGTCGAAGATAGTCTTTTTGGTTATTTGTGTGTAGATTGGCGAAGTTGTTGGAGGAGAACAACTATTGGAGACCAATCTCTGGGTGGAAACGGAGGTACAAAATGATAAGTGCGGCAGTCTACCAATTTGTCCAGCACCAAGCCAATGTATGAGACCGGCGGCGTAAGTTTGTTTTTCCCAAATTTTGTATGACCTTGTTACAGGTATCTGGAGCCTTCTCAATGTATTCATCCTTCATGGAATATGCAGATTGATTTGCTGAGCGAGAAATTCAAGGTTTTCGTCTGAACTACGAATGAAAAGTATATAAATGAAGGGTTATATGTTGAATATTGTGGATTGAGTTACGTTTTTGGCCTGCTTGTGGTCGTATTTTGTTTTGTCGGAATCAATCTTATGGTTTTGATCAGGTTGGCAGCACGAATTAATATTTTTTTACAAAGCCTATTTTTTGAACTAAATGTGATTCTTTTTTAGTTTTAATTGAACTCGATCCGTATAAGTTTACTAAGTTTTATAATTAACCTTTTATAGTGAACAATGTTGCGTAAGACGTACAATTCGATGAATAAAATATGACAGACTGTATTTACAATTATTTTATAAGGTATTGTAGTAGATGAATATGGTTGGTCATGGCCGTTTGAGTACGATTCTAACGGTGTACGAGTCGATAATCGTCCACTCTAATTTTTAAGATATATTGATTAACTTTTTTAGAAATTGTGTAATTTTTATTTTGTATAAATGTAAAATTTATAAAGGTAATTGAAGGTAAAAAAATGGAGTACTATTGTAATGTAATAGTTTGTTTAAAAGGGGAAATGGGTTTTTGTTTAAAAAAATTTGTTATTTTGTTTAGTTGTTTGTTTTGGAATGCGAAAATTTGTATTTTTTTCCAAAATAAATGTAAAATAGGTGAAATTTAAACTTAAATTATGGGTAGAGAGGTAAGTTTTTTAGAAAAAAAATGATGCGAAAAACTGTAATGCTGAAAAAAATGGAATTATAAGGGAACTTACTTAACTTTCCATTGAGTCCCATGCTGAGTCGGTGTCCATATCGGAGTCTGAATCGGTATCCGATGCGAAGGGGTATTCCAGTTGCGGTGGTGCGAGGCACTGTGTTAGCCATTTCCTTTGTACCTGCGAGAGGTATGGCTCGGAGAGCCAATGTCTCGAGGACGTTGGGTTTAACCTACACATGTTGCCACGGACCATCTATACCAATAGATCGATGCAGGCGGAATGAAGGCTCATCGAGGGTGTGACATAAACCCCGATGAGTAAAGGATTAGATTCGATGGTTTGAGGACCAAACGAATCGTAGTAGAGTATTTCTTGAATTCTGGCAGATATTCTGTGTTGATGGCCATGTTGTGGTGCCCAAATCTCTCTTGGAGGAAGAGCACGGGGATGGCCGAAGGATTAATCTTGAACAACCGCATTGGTGGCGCGGGGGCTTCCGGACGTCCCAGGCATGTAGCAATAGTTTGGACAATGTTTATCGTACCGCTTGATTTTACCCGCTCTCTTTCGCTCAGAAGCCGCCGTTGTTTGGGATTCCATTCCCGCCGATGACAAAGCATCGCGAAAGGGAAAGAACACATTTTAACCTTGCTCGCTCAGAAATTCAGCAACACTTTTCTCACATATCAACGCCTTCATACAAGACGTCATGATTGACATATTTCTATCTGGTGTTACCACCCCTTTAAAAGCTAAATTATTGCGACAAAGACGTCCTGAAACCCTACAACAAGCTCTAGACCTTGCCTTGTCGGAACAAGAATTACAAGACGAAATACGCCGCGACTATCTTATCAACAACTCCGCCGACATAACAGTCGCCCAAGTTCGTCCAGAAAACGGCTTACAAAATCGTTTTTAAAAAACATTTTCAAACTTTTGCTCAAAACCCTTGTTCCAACGGTTTAAACCTGGATTTAACAGATATAATAACCGTTTTCAAAATCAAAATCAACAAAATCGCTTTAGGCTTCCCTTTACCTCAACTTTTCAGAACTCATATTGCCCCAACAGTTACCAAAATTCCAATAATTTTAGGAATTCTCAACTACGAAACAATCCAAATTTTATTAATTTTAGGCCTAATCGCCCCCCCCTTAACCTCACATTCTGCCCACAAAACAATAACAATTATAGGCATAATAAGAGAATTAGAATAAGTTTATAATTTTTGTGTTATTTTTTGTTTAGGATGTTATTTAGGACTTCAGCACCATATTTTTTAACATGGATATATCGAGGTAATTAAGGTTATACGATCCCATCAAAATGTAACACGTTTTATTATTAACAAATGTTTATGTTATGTTTTTGCTGCTTTTTCCTTTGTTTTATCAAAGATTTCGACTTGTTATTTGGATTTTTTCGAGTATTTTGTAGGCTAAAACAACATCGAACAGAGAACGCAGACTTTAGGTCAGTCATTTGTTGTTGAGACAACAAGGTAACACGTGTTTACACAATCGACGGCTTAAAATATGATCTTATATTATAGTTAAATTACCAAATTGAGTAAACAAACAGTCTACAAATCTAATTTTTGTAAATAATTGTACCAAATGGCACGTTAGCGTGCTGAAATGATTTTTGTAAATGGCATATTTCGTTTTATCACAGTCTGAGAAAACTGTTCATTTAATATTGATCTGGCAGACATTGAATTGTCGCCGCATTTTCTTAAATAATTTTTTTGTTGCAGTAAAGTAATGGTTGTTTTACAACTTCCTGGAATATTTTAGAATTGATCTTTAAAAATTTCACGTCTATTGGATAAGTGTTTATTCAGCTTTTTAATTGTCTGTCAATCATCGTTGACAAATTACTGTCGGTTTATTTTAATAACGCACTTTGTTTAAGTGTAACAACAAAAATCGACATTAGAAGTGTTTTTGAAGTTTGAATTCTGAATAATTGTGGCAATTACATAATCTGTTATTGTCTCAAAAGTTTAGGGCGTGATTGCTGGTACTATTAAAGGAGGATGTGATAGATAGTACTACTCACATTGTAGTGTAATTGACAGGACGTGCAATCTCTTTTCTAAATTATTACTTTATATAAAATATATCTTTACTAACATACTTCAGTACATACCGTACTACGTTACATAACGTACTAATACAATACCAACAAAATTACAGTATGTTTCATTACCAACCCTGGAGCAACAGTCCGTTTGCGTGGGACGTACCATATGATAACGATACTGATTATACATTACCGTATGTTGAAACATCTTCTTACTCTTTCTATATTAACGCAACGTATAATACATCTACGGTTATTGGCGGTGTCTGTTCCTTCACTTTATTGTACTTGGTTTTGTATCATTCTAAAGGCAGTTTAAAACACTACAGTAACGTTATGTTATTGTGTTGTGTTAATGATTTAAATTACTGGCTATTTGATCATCTGGGGCATTTGGTGAGCTTGTACTACTATTTAGCATTAGTTGCAGTATGCTTTAGTAGCACTAGTTACAGTATGATTTTGTAGTACTAGTTACAGTATGGTTTTTTGTATGAGTTACCGTAAAGTTTTGTATTTTAAAGTTTCATTTTCTAGCAAACCACTAGCCGTGATGGAGTTTTTATGGCTAAACTTAACGGATTAGCAAGATACTTCGATTGGAAAGTGCAAGTTATAATCTTCAGCTTGATTGTCAATGCCACTATATTAAGTAACACAATCTTGCCGGCTCAAGCTTATTGTCGATATTATGCTTTGAAGTAGTAGGTTAATAAGATTTTAATAGCTTGATCTCTCGTTCAGCATTAGTGTCAGTACCAGACAAATAAAATTAAAATTTTTAATGTTTTCTAGTGACACACCAATGACAAAGTGGCACACTTTTCGTGTGTTTTGTTATGCACTTTCTGCTGGAATACCGATTTTTATTGCTTCTTTCTTGAGTTGTTACTACTCGCCAACTTCAAGGCCGGGCCTTAATTATGGACAGTTTTGGTTTCACGAACGTCCGCTTCCAATAGTCATGTACACTGATATTGTATGTTTTTAAAGACGTATTTCTCTTCAGATAAATGTCAAATTCTATTTTAGCGCCACGTAACTCAAATATGCTACTTTCTACTCGGAACTATCGTAGTCACTATTGCATACTCGTTGGCTGTGTGGTACAGTTACAAAACATACCTTTATTTGGAGGAAAACAAAAGCGGTTATACAGCTAAAACACGCAAAGTGAATAAGCAGCTGTCGATTTGCATGTTATGTCAGGTATGATAGGTAGGGTAGGATAAGGTAGGGTATTGCGAAGTAGGGTAAGACAGAGTAAGGGACGGTATGATAGGGTAGGTTTGAATGACGTACGGTTGAGCAGAGCATTATGGGATAAAGTAACTCAAAGTGGACTACGGTAGGGTAAGGTAAAGTGGAGTACGGTAGCGCAGGGTTAGTTATGGTAGTGTAGCGTAGAGTCCATAATAACCACTTTTGCAACTTTCAGGCAATAGTGTCACTAACAGTAGCATGTGGACCTATTATGGTATTCACCGTGCCAACATTTTTGCACGCTGACAGTGGTATTAGCACTTGGATTTGTGGTGTTATTTTGAGTCTTGTCCCAATTTGCAATCCGATTGTCACTGTAGTAATTATCAAACCCTACCGTAACACATTGTTGAAAGCGTTTGGTTTACAGAAACGTAACTTAATTGAGGATTCAAGCAGTGGATCTTATGCAATATAACAACCCTTCCTATCTTTTATAGGTACGGCCTGTTTTGATAAGGATTATCTTTTATTTGTCTTGAAACGAAACCAGAAACTGTAAAAATAGTCTTCAAATTTAAGAGTTGGCACGTTTGTAGTATGTGATCACTGTTTAATTTCTTAATCTATTTTTTAGTTTAAACTGGTTTTTTTTCTTGAATTTATTGATCTCACCACGAAAACCTAAAACTTCAAATTTCATTATTTGAAGCCTAAAAATAGACGTCAAATTCAAAAGTGGCACGCTTATTAGCAAGTAATTACTATTTACTATCTTAGAATCTACTACTTATTTTAAAATGATCTTTTTCTTGAATTTATTGGTCTCACCACGAAAACCTAAATATCCAAAAATCAATCAGACTCCAATCATATTTTAATATTACGTTTTATTGATTCTTTTGTACGATTCAAATATTAATTACAAACATATAAACATTGAACACACTTAATAATCGAAAAATGAAACCAGGGAGAGAACATAAAGGACATTACACTAGGTAATGCGAACAAATATAACAATATTGAGAATACGACGAAGAGAATATAACCGTATACAGTGGGATTGTGTTGAAAAGAAGGTATAATATTACAATAGTAATCTACCAATGGGAAAGTTGTTTTTGCATTACTATAAGGGGTACTGTAATGAAAAATGTACTGTAAAAGGGTGAAGGTAAAGAAAGATATTACAGTAATCGATTTGAAGACTTTTACTATAACAGTCGATGTGATCGTATGTAGGTATATCTATGAATGATAGAGGAATAGACTAACAACACTAAGAGTAGTATGAGAATAGTAGCACTAAACATACCAAGCATAGTACGTTGATACTGAACATACTAAGCATAGTATGTTAATAGTACTGCTAACAATATTACTGGATACGATAGTAAAAGACTGTTATATTGTGAAAGAGAGTAGAATATACAAGATAACAAGTTTGATAGGAATTTTACATTACTACTTTACCGTATGATTCTAGGTGATGGTACAGTAGGGTATACATAGTACGTCTACTAAAGATCACAAAATACAGTAAGAAAACGAAAGTACAGTATAATTAAGACACATTTCCAAACAACAATCGAATCTTGAAAGAAATTTACCATAGAAAGACAAAGAAGTTATTGAATATTACTGTAACATAGGTCACAGAAGCTTACTGTAGCAGGTGCATACTGTAACTGATGCTATAGAATCATACTGTAATTGATCTACAGAATCATAGTGTAACATAAGCCGCGGTATCATACTGTAAAAGCTACAATATGCTACGTTAACTGATGATACAATATCATACTGTAACATATGCTACAGTAAGAGCTTGATGTTGTTGAAAAACCCTAGTAAAATAGGTCTTAAGGCCCCATGAATGAAACGGATAAGTTAATGAAAGACATTATCATGGAAATTCAAAGGTTATTCGGGAAGTCTGTACTTAATCCTATACAGTACATTTCATACTGTAACTTTTCGGCTAGGTAGAGTAATGTAAAATTGGCGTACTGTGGTTTTTAGATAGTACTGTATTTTAAATATCATGTTTTGAGCTACAGATACAAAAGAAAAAAATTTTGGTACTATATAGTACTGTAACAAAACTTTTTCGCCAAAAAACTTGTACTGATATCAACAAAATCACAGTACACCATAACATACCAAAAATACAGTACTACCAAAACCACAGTACCACCAAAATTGTTATCAAAAGTTGATGCTACTATAATATAAAACTGAAAAGAATAGTGCAATGACCAGAATTGAAATTGAAAAAAGTTGAATTTTTTCGAAAAATCGGCATTATTGATATAAAAACTATAAAAAATATGTCATAAATAAAAATTGCCACACGTTTAAGTTGAGAGACGTTTACTGCACTAGTACTTGTTGGGCCTAAACTCAGGTTTAGGTACTGTTTAAGGCCTTGGAAGCATTTTTCACTAAAGAAGTCAGGTATTATTATTACTTTAGGTATAAATTCATCAAAGAAAGCATGTATAACACCCCGAAACCCAATACAAACAAGTACAGTACGAAAGAAATCGCTTCGTGCACGAGAATGGGACACGATTGGGCCCGGCCTGATATAAAATACGAAAACGTTGGGAGGAGGGGGGACGCCTGGGACACCAACTTACTGCGGTAAAAGCTTTGAGATGTCGAAAAATTGGATTTTTGTTATAAAACACAGACTTTGAAAATTTTGACATTATCGACCGGTCGATTTTTGGAAAATAAAAATTTTTGAAAATTTTAAGTTTAATAGATTTTAAAAATCAAAATTTAAAAATTTTCCAAAAAAAAAAAAATTTTTTTGTTATCGACTAGTCGATAATTTAAAAAAACTTTTTTTTTCAAAAAATATAATTTTTTTGATTTTTTAATGCTCATAAATTCAAAAATTTCAAAAAAAATTCTTTTTTTTCAAAATCGACCGGTCGATTCACCAAAAAATCAAGTCCAAGTGGCAGTAGAAGCTGGTGAAAGGTTTGGCTTCGTTGGGGAGAGTGGAGACCGTTCATAGGTGATTTTTTTTACAAATAACTGGAGGGAGGAGTAAATACATAATGAGGAGGGGGTGTCTACTTCTTAACTGTATGAGAAGGTATACCTCTTTACAATAATCATAAGGTGAACTACCTTATGATAAGGTAGTATAAGATAAGTCTTATGATAAGGTAGGACAAGATAAACCTTATAGTGAGAGTCTACTTCTTGTTGGTATTTAAAAGTGTATCAAATAGAGTTTGTGGATTGAAAGCAGTTGAATGTGAAAGACTCCTCGGGGGGTGTTTTTGGAAATAAAATTAAAGTATAAATAACGCTACAGTAGGGAGAGAAAACCGTAATTAAGTTGATTGACCTTTTGTGGGGCTACATAGTGTTAGCTGGGGTTAGAATGATATTGTGACGGGATTCAGAAGGCTTTGTGGACATGGAAGCTCAAAAGCAGGATCTAAAAATCATCGTGAAGATCAAAAATCTTCATTGCTAGGTTCAGAATCCAAAGCTTAAACTTCAAAAATTCCAATTTCCAGAATCCATCGCCTTCTTCCTAGTGCTACAAACCCAGAGTCCATCACAACATCGTAAAAACTTCAGAATCCCACAACCAGACCACCGTTGACTTCTCAAGCATTTGGTTGAGGTTCGGCCGGGATTGAGTCGGCCACACTGGGAGTTTCCGTTTCCTCATCCACTCGCTCGATCAATGGCACAATCGAGATCGAAGCAGTTGGATACAGAGGTTGACACTTCTCACCGTTCGGTAGTAGCACTGGTACGTAGCTCTTGTTTTGGTACTGGCGAATCGGTCGGACTGTGTCGACTTGGCATCTGTACTTGTTGCACTTGGTCATGCAGCACGAATGTGTAGGTAATGGAGTACGTTGGGAGTGGGGGAACCAGTGACGAATGCACCACTCGATCAAGTAGGCTAGACCAATGTATAACAAAGTCAGGAGGGCCAGAATGATCAAGTATTTTAGGAGAATGATGGGGAAGATCGTGCTTAGAACGACTTCAGAACAGTAAGGTAGCTAAAATAAGGTGGGTTAAAGTAAAACTTGTTTTAATAGATTCAAAAAGAAAAGATTAATTTTTAAGATAACTAAAGGTACCAAGAACAATATTGTTCAAAATTTCAAAACTTTTTTTTAATAACTTAAAAAATGGATATAAACCTACCCTCTCCCTGGGCAAGATGGTACACTGTAGAATGTTCATAACCCGCTCAGCAGACATGATTTTATGGCCAGTTCGCATCGCAGCGGCCAAGCCCAAGTGCAACTTCTCCACTATAAAGATCCGGCACGTCAATAACAATGGCAATGCAGCGAACATGCTCAAGTCAAGCACAGCCAAAAACAGCACATTCCTCGGTCGAACAGTCGTGATTGGCAGGATGAACAAGAAGAAGCATGTTGTAGACAACGCGATACACATCGAGGCTACACACATCCAGGTGTTCTGCTTGTAGTCGGCCAGAACCTCCATTTGGGAGCGGAAATGCTTGATGTCTTGACCTTTAACAGGCTCATCACCAGGATATTGGGCATTCAACTTGAGTGTGTAGTCTTCTACTGCGCTATAGGAGTCGAGGAATGGTTGCATATAGACCAGATGGGCAACGGCGATGCAGAATAAGGTCAGAAGTTTGAAACAGTGGGCGTAGAAGGACTAAAAATGAGAGTTTTTATATTCTTTTAGATAGAATTCCGATGTTTTAAAGGTTTTTTGTCCAATTTTCTTGTAATTTTTGCAAGTTTCAAGATATTTTAAGCCATGTTTTGCCCCAAATTTCATTCTTTTGTCCCCATTTTACCTTCACAAGTTCACTTTACCTACAATTTTACAACTGCTTTAACTACAACCAGATTGTATTGTCCAGTTTTTACATTTTACTACAATATTTATGTACTACAACATAGTACAATTACTTTTAATTTTTAAAGCTACAAAACTGAGAACAGCCAATTTTCTGCCTTGCTTTCACTTTTTTATTTGAACTTGTTACCTAAAATTTTTAAAAAATGCAAAAAAAATTTAGATTGTTACCTAAAATTTTAAAATGGTTATGAAAAATGGAATTTTGTTAAATAAAATTTAGAAAAATGCACAAAAACAACATTTTGTTACCTAAAATTTAATAAAAAGTTACTTACCTACCCTACACAAACTTATTTTACCCTACTCTACTCTACCTTACCCTGTCCTATCCTAACTTACTTTGTCCTATCATCAAAATTATCCTGTCTATTCTAGCATGTCATATCCCTTTGGTTCATCCCAATTTCGGATATTATACATGGCGTTTCCGCACGTTTATTGACTATTTTCATGCGTTAACAGTGCCAGCCGGTACACCAGTTTTTGCGAACAAATTTTGGTCTTTCTAAACAAACAAAACGGCCATAAAAACATTATGAAAACGTTTGTTTTTCTACATTTTCGAGTATTTTGGTGGGATTAGACTGTCAAAACAGGTCAGTTCCTGGTGTTTTACCCATGTTTTCGAGTTGAATCAAAGTTTAAACAATTTGTGGGATATAAAACAACCTTCCGCTTATAAAATACTAGTCTTTTTACTGTGTATCTAAGCCAAAATTTCAAAAACTGGTGACGTTTTTAGCAGAAAAATGATGTTTTCAGTCGAAAATCCTTGAAGTTCAGACATTTTTTCATTAAATCTGTTAAAAAAGATGATTAAAACACAAAATTTTCATGTATATAACACAAGTCTAATGCATTCTGTACAAATACGAGTGATTTAGCCCAAAATGCGTTGTAATCCCTGACTAATGGGTTTACAATCAGATTATCTTCACCTTGTAGTAATAGACGAGAAGGTTAAATTTCGCAGCTATTTTTTAAATTACTTTTTGTGTTACAATACCGTACGATATCATTAAAATGGTTCTCTAATCAGCTTAAAACTTTTTAGTTCAATTTTGTATTTTTGAAAATTAAAATTATTTTTACACTGCACCGTGCAATTTCAAAATCAAATTTTTGCAATAATAACCCTAAAATATATCAAAACTCCTACCTGCTTCTCCATAGCAAACCGAAACAGCCGTCTGGTCCGCTCGAACACACTGATGCTCTCACTGGTGCAGCACGATTGACTTCCGACCGAGTATAATCGACCGCCGTGAAGCCGGTCGTTAATCGCATCCAACTTCATCTGACCCATCTTGTCGTTTGTGGCCATTTTCTCTTTGGTATCAAGTTAAAACATGAAAAGTTGAAGCTGTGGCCAAAAAAGTTGAAGGACTTCGAAAAATGTCCTTATATTGTTGTAGGTTGGATATTGTGGTAGATATGATGCCTGAATCAGATCGGTTGAACTAGAAAGAAGAGTCTAACTGGGATGAAGAGGTTGAAAGCACTGTAGAAAATGAAAAACAAAAAGTTCTTGACGAAATAATTAAAATCGCAGATCAACGAGTTGGAATTCTATCTAAAGTAATATAAGTTAATATACGACTAGTTCTCGGGAAAATTATATTGGTAAAAGTCTCGCAAAATAAAGTAAAAACAATGCGCTATCATTTACAATCAAATTCAACATCGATCTCAATCAAAAAACAACAATAATATAGAGTTTTCAAGATCAAACCACTAAAATATCGAAAAAATTAATCAAAACTGTCGAAGTAAATTTAAATAGCTAATCAACCAATATAAAAAAAACCGCAAATTACATGCAGAAGCTAACAAACTTGTAAATAACAAATTTCTCGTGGTTGTTATGGAAAGAAATTCGAAAAACGAGCCAGAGGCACGAGATTTTCGAGAAAAATCAGAAAATAAACAAAGAGAAAAACTTGGCCCATCGGGTCAAGATTGGCATTTCTTGAGGTCTTATGGCATAATTTATAAAATACGACAGTTTATGTGGACTACAAGAAAGAAGAGTCTAACTGGGATGAAGGCCTGTCATTTTTGGCGTTTTTAAAGAGGTTGGTCAATTAAATAATGGCAGTACCTTTAAATTTCAAATCAAAAACTTTAAAACAAAAAAAAATATTGTGCCAAAGCAAAAAATGAGTGTAAAACCGTGAGAATCGTATAAAGTGTACTATAAGGTATGCAAAAAGTTATGGAACACCCAATTATGTTCGAAAATAGACACTGAACACAAGGCGTTCATAATATTGATAAATAAAAGTTCAAAACGGAAAAAACAAAAATTTCGAAAAATTAGGTAACAAGTGGTGTAGTAAATATAGAAAATGTCATTTTAGACCTTAAAAACAATACAAAAATTTTAAATTTTATCAAAATGCAAGTTATAAAGTCATTTTTTAGAAATCTCCCCCTGGTTATAAAAAATTTAAAATTACCCCACCCAAAAATTAAAAATATTTTAAAAAAAACCATGCTTCACACTATAAATGTTATTTTTGCCATTTTAGATAAGCTAGTTACTAGAAAACGTCCCAGAACGTTCCAAAACGTGCGAACTTCCGACCAACCAAACTTTACAGCCGTTTTTTAGCGCCTGCGGGCCCAAACTTTAAATCAGCTTTTTATAAGCGTCGAAGATGAATTACAAAAGGCTTTTTTCAACGTTTCAATGCAGACAAGTAACCTTCCGCAAAAAAACGACCTTTGAAACCGTTTTCGAAAACCCATTTTACTGTCTGCCGAGACAATATATTTCTCGAGTTTGAAGGTAAAATGCAAAAAAAAATATTTTTTTTGTGATTATTGGGTGAAGGCTAAGGTGTTGGGGGTTCGAAAAGATGTGAAAGTGAAAAAAATAAAAATTTTTGAATGGAACTTCTCTATAACAAACTTCTCTATAACAAACTTCTCTATAACAAAACCACCGTATAAAGAACAACTTTCATATCACCTGCCAACACGACAAAACTTTTTCAATACTCTAGTAGACCCAAAAACAGAAGAAAATCATTTTCAAAGCCAAAAGGAAATAAGAAACTTTAAAATTTTGTTTGAATCAGCGAAAAATCAAAGAATTCCCAATTCGGTCCAAGATACGTAGCGAGTCCCCAAGATAGTGTACGATCTGATAAGAGAAAGGCGTCAGAAAGAATTTGCAAAAAACTCGAATAAGTTGTGTTAAAACAAGTTCGAGAATCATAAAATCTACCCTACCTTCCCTACCCTACACTACCCTACCCTACCCTAACCTACTTTATCATTTCTTATCCTGCCCTAGGCTACCTAATATACCTACCCTACCTTACTCTACCCTCAAAAACCTTTCATAATATCAACCTTCAAACCTATTTTAATACCTATTATAAAACAATATATTTTGAAGAAAAACAACAAAAAATTAAAAAAGAAGCAATTTTTAAAAACAAATTCGAGAATTATAGCGTGTTGTAAACTGCGAATGTATATGAACTGCTTTAAAAAACGTCTGGACGCTTTTTATATACTTGAATATAAAAGTAGAAGAGACGTGAAATTAGTTATTAATTAAAGCTTTATGTACTACACATGGCTTTAATTTCAAAAATTTGAAATTTAAAAAAACTTAATTTTTTAAATTGAAAAAGTGTTTAAAAAACCAAAAAAGGGTTAGGTATTCTCTGTTGATGCTTCCTAAAGCTCTCGTCTAGGTAATGAATGTTAAGGTATATCAACCCTACGCTCAGTTTTAATACGATAAAGTAGGTATCAATGCTTAAAAATAAAAAAAAATTTTTTTTAATTGAAAAGAATTGAAATTCATCAAATTAAGGTTACATGAGACTTTTTTTTAAATGGAAATTATATGTAATTAGTGACCTTGACCCCGAATTTTGTTGTAAAGTAACAAAAATCAGTATTTTTCAAAAAGGGAATGCAAAAAAAATGAAAAAAATCAGGTGATTTTAAACTCAAAAATTTTCAAAAATTCAAAAAATCAAAATCCACCCCTAATATCCCAAAACCAAAAGATCTATCCTAAACCTCGCGAATGCAAAAAAAATCCACCCATACTAACCCCCACCTCCCCTCCCCAACCTTAAAGTCGCCCCACCTCCCCTTCCCAGCCTCAAAATCCCCCACCTCCCCTCCCCAACCTCAAAGACCCCCCCCACCTCCCCACCCCAACCTCAAATCCCCAGCACGCCGAAACTGACCGAATCCGCGGCACGTCGCCGGCTCAAGGCCCTTTACACACCCCGACCCAATCCAGAGAGTGGTCAACGTTCCGACTCCTACCGCACTCTTCCGTCTCCTCGAGGCCGAATTTCGACGCGAACGGCCACGCCCCCTTTCTTTTCCGCACTCGCGTCAGTGCTTTTTTCGCTCTCCACCAGGCGCGGGCGAAGCACGAAAAAATAGGGGGGGGTGAAAGGAATGGGTGAGAGATAGGGTCGAGAGAGTGAGAAGATTAGTGAGGGAGACTGGTTAAAGTAAGAGAAAAAAAAGAGGGATGAACGAGAGATAAGTAAAATGAACACGGTTATGAAGAGACAACCTTAGAAGTCAGAGAAAAGAAGAAAGAGAACAAACAACAAGAGACATACGCAAGAAAAAGAAAAAAGAAAAAAACTAGCCGAGACAGAGGGCAGAGCGCAAAAAAACGAACGAAAAAACGGGCCCCTCGGTCCGTGGTGCCCACCGATGACGCGGCGGCGACGCCTCGACGGCCCAGTGACCAGCACCGAGTGGTCCCCGCCGCCGGCTGAACGGCGTGTGCAAAAAGGGGTCGAACACACACACACACGGGTCACCCCCGCAAGTCCACGCGCGACCGAAAGACTGAACTGTATGTTGGTCTAGCGAGGAGCGGCGGGGTCTCTGAAGGTTGGCAGGGTGAGCGAAGGTCTCTCGGTAGGTGTCTGACGGTGGAGAGTGTGTCTCTGTGGGTTTACCTAGTAAGGCGATCTTTTACTATTCTTATGATGGTAAAGCTGGCGGCTCTGATGATTTACTTAGTAAGGGCCAGTATTTTCTAGGTTTCCGTTTCTTTTGTCTTTAGTGTAAGGTAAGGTCTCTATGTAGGTTGTGTTGTTATAACGGTCGTCTCTCCCGATTGTAAGCAAGCATAGTAGTCTTTATGAGGTTCGTAACAAAGCTACGGTCTCTACAACTACTAGTTAACGTAAAAACTCTATGCGAGTTTTGGCACCTCTACCTGATCGATCTCTCTATGTTTACACAGCCAACCTCTTTCTCTATCTACACCTCTTTAATAAACTATTTTTTTTCTATTTATTGTCTTCTAGACTAATATTTTCATATTTTCTCTATCAACTTGAGAGTATCAAGACTCTAAGGCAATATCCTGACCTCTCTCTTCTCAGTAGCTACCCTCTTACGTTTATTCACCTTTGGACAAACGTGAATGGTCTATGGTATATAGACTTTATACGACATTCCGTGCTGGTCTGCCCCTCTTATTAATAAACTTGTTTCTGATTCTATGTCCGTCAACTTTCTCTTGATTCTATGTTGGTCAACGTTCTCTTAAATTTAGGTAACACTTTCTCTGTATTTTCTTAAAATTAGGTAGTCTTTGATTTAAGTTTTCGTTCTTTGAACTAAAGCCTTATCAAAACCACCTGCGCGTCTTAGGGCTTCTAAGTTTGCCAGTCAAAGATCGATGACTGTATGAAGAGGTTGTAGATAGCAAATTACTCTTACTCTTATGGATTGAAATAACAATGTCTATATTAATCTTATAAAGACAAGACTCTTGCTAATTGTATTGCCATATTTTAGAACAACACACAACAACGTATTTTACACAATAATTTAATTGTATATGTTGTTTCATACCTAAAATTTAAAGAATTTACCCCTTCCTTCTTCTCTATCTACCCTCTTCTTTTTTTACAAACTTTTCTACTTACCCTTACGGACCTTCTAATTTTCCTACACTCTTTTTCAATCAACCCCCTATCTACCCCCTCTGTTCCCTACATTCTTTTCTGTCAACCCCTACCCATTCTCCCCTTTCTCTACACTATCTTTCCCTACGAAACCCCTCTCTACCCACTCTCCCCCTTCTCCACACACTCTCTCCCCGGCGATTCACTTGCGAATTTCGCGGCTGACCGGTCATCAAACCACGCCTTTTCGAAATGCGAAAGAAAAAACGAAAAATTTGCACCGTTCTCTTTGCGGAACGGCGCCCCAAATAACGAATTGGTCGTTTTCCAATTTTTTCTGGCCGTGCTGGGCCGCACCGCTGGCCATAAATTTGTAAGTGGACTCAGGCGGACGGAACGGAGAGAGAGAAGGATGTGGACCGTGCCAAACACCCGCCCGAAGGGAATGGACTTTGGGGACCGCGCCGTTGATTGGCAGGCCCCTTAACGGCCGCAAAGACGGAAGGGGGTTCGGCCAAATGGGATTGTACTCTTAAGACGGAGGGGAATATTCTTCTGACGGAGGGGAGTACTCTTAAGACGGAGGGTAAGGAGAACAATGATAAAGTATTTGAATACAAAATAGTGCAACAATGAGGGAGGGCAGGGTAAAAAGACTTTAATAAAAAGAGAGGGTAGTTGTTAACGTAAGTATTGCGCAAAGAAGAAAAAGGCGTGTAAAGCCGAAAAGCAGCAACAACTCTTTAAATTTGCATAAAAAATAAAGTTAGTGTACTTTAAAACATAGTGTAAAGAAAGGAAATTCAATAAAACAAATTTTGTTTTATGGTTATATGATGTCAGACAATGGCGATTATTTTTGTTACAAAAAGATTTGGCAACTGTTCAAAAAAGGTTGAGTGTTTAAAAACAAAAGTTCAAAAATAAAGGATATTCATGTTGCAATAGGTTTTCATTAGCTATAAACTTGATTTCAGTACGTTAAAATGTCATAAAATTGTTTGGAATGAAGGAAAAGAAGTTTTATTTAAAGCTTTGTTCCATAGGTTAAGTAAAATAATGGTTGGAAGGGGTAGGTCAGAGTACGGAAAAGTTAGACGGACCCTTAAGAGATAGGTAGGACAATTTTAATTTAATATCTTTCTATGACCCCCAGCTCTTAAAATTTTTTTTAAGGAAAAAGTTGAACATTTACCAAAATAAAGCTCCTACCCCCACTCTGACTCACTTGTTTTTCCCTCAAAACTGCTTCAAAATTAACAAAAGACTATGACAAGGTTTTGTGACAAAAAAGAATTCAAAATAGAAAGCAAATTCGACTGTTAGTTTTCAGCTCGAGAACAAATAATCAGCGCAACCTTTGGACTCGAAATGGGCAAACTTTGGGGCACGTGGCAAGAGGTTGTATGAGTGTTGACTTCCGGGCGAAATTCGAGACATTAAAAGGCGGGATATAAGGAGTGTAAAAACATTAGAAAGGTAAGGTAGATAATGTTGAAGTTGATTTTTTGACCTGGAATTAGAACAAATTAGGTAAAATACGCAAGTTTTTAATTTTTAGTATTATTGTATTACTGTAAGTTTACTGTATAATATAGAAGCACGCAATGTGGGTTAACATACTGTAGAATATTGTAAAGCACAATAGGATTATCATACATAGGGTACAGAGTAAATTAGGGTAGGGTAGGGTAGGGTAGGGTAGGGTAAGGTAGGGTAGGGTAGGGTAGGATAGGGTAGGGTAGGGTAGGGTAGGGTAGGGTAGGGTAGGGTAAGGTAGGGCAAGGTGTAGCAAAAAAAAATAAAAAAAACATTTCTTACCCCGCCCTGTCATCTACAGCTAAAATTAACCCCTCCACACAAATATGACTCATTGTTTACCCAAAAATACAGTAACCACCTCGAAATCCTCAAAATCATTACAGTCCCTCAAATTTCTCAAAGATTTCAAATAAAAACCTGGAAGGGTCACTCTTAAATTTATGCAAATTCCGACAAATGAAGGGCCCATTATTCGGCGTGGAAATTGGATTGAAATTTCGAAAAAACCCATTCCTCTGACCAAAACAACATTGTTCGCGACAAAACACGCGCTCAAAAACAAGACAAGTGATTTCAATTTTTTTTGAAAAAAAAATTTTTGGAAGAAAGAAACAGCTCGGGGTTAATGTGAATTGTTCGGGGAAGGGGAGGGGGAAAGAAGAATAGTAGGACACGGCAGGGTAAGTAAGAGTACGTCACGATAGGGCGGGGTGAGACTGAGTATGCCAGGATGGGGCAGGGTAGGGCATTTTAAGAAAGATTTAAGCCTAGCCCATTTTAATTTTTTCAACGGCTAGCCCTGCGCGGTCAAACTTTAGCCCTGGCCTGCTTGTTAAGCCCAGCCCACGGGCCGGGCCCAACTTTTCAGTCCGCACCGTTTCAAGTTCAGGTCATGAGACTTGCTTTAACATTAGCATTGCCTTAACCTTGTCATAACCTTACTCTAGCCTTGCCTTAGCCTTACCCTAACTTTGCCCTAGCCTTGCCCTTCCAATGCCTTTGTCTTGCCCTTGCCTTGCCTTAGCCTTGCCCTAGCCTTGCCCTAGCCTTGCCTTAGACTTGCCCTAGCTTTGTCCCGATCTTAAAGCCAAGCCACCCTGCAAGGTCCGTTTCCCACCCCTAGTAGCGGGGAAAGGGGGTAGACATCATAGAGAAGAAAGGTTCGCCCGCAATTTGAGGTTGCGGCGCGACAGCTCGTCTCCCTTTTTTTATGCGACCAACGTTCCTCTTTATGCGACGTCCCCAATCGTTCCTTTCTTCGCCGTTCCGCAGTGACCATTGAACGCGCAACAAACAAAGAGTGGTAAAAAATGAATGTGATGGGTGAGGGGACAACACGCGGGTTCACGGAACGCCGGCTTGCGGAAGGCTTGAGGTTTTGCGGTCGAAAATCGGATCATGAGGGGTACGATAGGGAGTAGGGAGGAAAAATTGGAGGATTTTGAGGGATTTAAAGGGAGGGGGGGGTTTAAAAAAAGACGAGGTAAGTAGGGTAGGCTAAGGCTAAGGATCAAACTCAGGCTCTGTCTCAGGCCAGGCTTAGGCTTATGCTAAGACTAAGGCTAAGGCTAAGGCTAAGGCTAAGGCTAAGGTTAAGGCTAAGGCTAAGGCTAAGGCTAAGGCTAAGGCTCAAGCTCAGACTCATGCTCATGCTCATGCTCATGCTCATGCTCATGCTCATGCTCATGCCCAAGCTCAGGCTCAGGCTAAGGCTCAGGCACAAGCTTTGGCTCAGGCTCAAACTCAATCTCGAGCTTATTTTAAGGCCATGGCTAATGTCATTTTTTCTTTTCAAAGCCTTAGCTTAAGTGTTCCCTAGCTCTGTACCAACTCTAATCCTAGTCTTATCCTATTTTTGTTTTAGCCCAAATCTCAGCCCCGCTTAAGCACTACCTAGCCTTAACGTAGCCTTACAATAGCTGTTTCCTAGCTCTTTCCCAGCTTATACTGTAACCCTTATATAACCATATCAGAGCCCTAGCCGAGGCTTTCTCTAGTCCTTCAAAAATTATTATCAATATTCACAAAAAAACGATCAAAAAATTACACCACCCAACCCAAAAATGGCACAACTTTAACCCACTTAACAACCCTTCCCTACCCTCCCCAAACCAATTTATCATCAAAATATGCAGCAAAAACGACGGAAAAAAACTGCTATTGTATCGAAAAAAGCGACTCGGGATCGGGTCCACCGCCGCCAACGGCCTCGGCCTGATTTTCTCTCTCTCTCGCGCAGGTTTATCCCCCCTACACCCGAACATACGGGAAAAAAACCGACTCAACAATCTGTCACCGAGTGTCGCGGAAATCCCCCCCCAGTTTAATTTTAACGTGAAACAAAGACATGGCATTCAAGGGCGTGGGGGTGATTGGGTAGAAAAGGGGGGGGGGATGTCATGAAATAAGGGTTAGGTTGGGTTTGAGGGGTAATAGAAGGAAGCTAGGTTTAAAGAGTCGAGCTAAATACGGAAAAGTTGGACTGGCCCTTAAGGGGTAGGTAAAAATGTAAAGTAACATCCCTCTATGAACGCTAAGCTCAAAAAAATTTTGACAAAAGTTGAACGTGGTCCCCCCTGTTAATTTCCAAAATTTTTTTTTAAATTTTTCATATTTAACCAAACTTCTCGCTTTACACAAAAGCAAAATTACAGTCGGTACATTTTTTCCTCTCTCATCCCCTACAATTTTTTTTTAAAAAAAAGTTGAACGTGGTCCCCCCCCTGTCAATTTTATGAAATGTTTTTTTTTCTAATTTTTACTTCTTTCATACCAATATTAATCCAAAATCACCCGCCTACACTATTTCCAATAACAAATATTACCTAAAAACCAATAAACAAAGAAAAAAACAACTAAAAATAAGCCCAATTTTTAATAAATTAAAAACAAAAATTTCAAAAACTCTAAGCCTGTTAGTACTTGGTGATTGCAAAGCAAAGTGCAACGTGAGTAAACGTGTGTTAAAGCGGAACAAACGCCTTTAAAACGTTGTACTTACAAATCTTTAGAACTTTTTTGGGGTCACAAAAACCCACAACGTACTTTTGCTACAAATTGTTTTGTATTCTGGACTTTTGAGGGCATATAAGGTGTGGACAAACGTTAAATTTTATGTTTTTTTGTCGTTTTCGACCAGTTTTTCAAGTTTAAAACCATATTTTTGGTTTTTTTTGGGCGCAAATGATGGTCTACCTTACCTTTCGGTAGGGTAGAGTACGGCAGGGAAACGTAGGGTAGAAGAGTAGGGTAGAGTAAAAAAAGTCTTGATAGGGTAGGGTAAAACGCAAAAAAAACAAAAAAAAATTTTTTTATTTCCTCCCCCCTCCCCCGCCCTTCTTTTTTTACCACGCCCAAAAATTTTTTCCAAAAATCTTCTCCTTTACCCCCTGTCTCATGCAAATGAAAAATCCCATTTTCAGTACCACCCCTAAGCCAAAAACTCAAATTCCGTACCAGACAAACAGCCAAGCCCTTCCCCAACAATCCTCAATGTCGTACCAAGTACAGCCCTTGCCAGCTTATAAGTTTCAAATAACTTTTTCGAAATGTCCTTGAACTTTTACCAGCTTATCTATCCCCTATAAAATAGTATAATCCGAAGAATAATGCCCGTTCACAAAACACAACGGGAAAAAAACAGAATTTGCAAACATGTTTACATCATTCGAGCATACTGTAAACACTGCTCAAGGCAGTTATACTGTAAACACTGCTCAAGGCAAACAAAGTCCAAACTGTTTTTGTAAAAACAAAAAACAAACGTGCTTCTGAGATCATCTGGGGCTCGTAGAGAAATTGGAGATTAGAGAAAGGCAAGGCCAGTTTATGCTAAGACTACAGCTGGGGTTAGGACGAAGCTAGGCTTGACTATGCTGAGACTAGAGATAAAGCTAAAACTAAGACTAAAGATAAGGTTAGGCTGTCACAAGGCTAGGACGAGGCTAGAGCAAGGCTACGGCAAGGCTAAGGCAAGGCTAGAGCAAGGCTAGGGCAGGGCTAGAGCAAGGCTAAGGCACAGCTAGAACAAGGCTACAAAAAAACTAAGACAAAGTTAGAGCTAGCTAGGACTACAGCCAAGACTAAAACCCCAAACAAACGCCAGAAACGTAAAAATTGCACAGTCTTCATTAGTCATTATTCCCGAAGCGCGACAGTTTTTTCGAGGCGATTTTTTCTCCACCGCCCTGACCCCGCAAAACGCACACAGCTCTCGACGGTCCGGTCGAGAGCGAACTGCGAAAGGGAACACCCCGCAGTTCGAAATGGCAGAGACAGAAAGAGCGAATTGACCCCCTTTTCAACGTAAATTTGAAGAAAATTCATTTTTACCATGCCCGGTGAAAGTAAAAATTTTTTAAAATTGTATTATCCTGCCCTTTGAAAGCATTTTTTAATTTATTCAAGCAAAAAAATTACACCCCGCCCAAAAAAAATTTATACACTGCCCAAAAACAATTTTAACCCGCGTAAAAAAATTTTTTTCTGGCCTATTCCTTGCCTGTTTTAAAATTTTTTTTTATTCTAAAAAACTTCCTCCTTCCATCAAAAGATCCCCCCCCCTAAAAAATATCCTTTTCTCTCCCCCCGCTGACCCAATCTCTTCCCCCACTTTTCGCTTTTTTTTCACTTTTCGAAGCGCCCCGTTCTCGGCGCCGGTCGCACTGACTGACACGAAAAAACGAGGAAAGTGGAGAAAACGCAAAAAATAAACCCGCTGGCCATCATTGTCGGCGCGGACGCGTCCGATCGTTCGTTTTTTTTGCTTTGGCAGACCTTTCAAGTTGGCCAGAGTCCAATCGAAATTTCTTTTTTTGTTCTTTGATCAGACATTAGAAACTTGATTAGACATAGGAAGGTTTAGAATGAAATTGAAATGGCAAGGCATAAAAGTGAAAAAAATGGTAGAAGAAATGTAACATTTCATTCAAATATTAAATTTTTTAAAAAATTGAAAAAAAAGCACTGTCACTAATTTTGGTTAGAGAAGTAGAAGGCCAAAGTAAGGGTGATATATTGCTAAGTTAAGGATAAAGTAAGGCTACAGTAAGGTTGAGAAAAACCAGAGTGAAACTTGGGTAAAGCAGGGTTAAACCGAAGTTATGACAACGGCTAGGACAGCGGCTACGGCAAATCTACGGCTAAGGCTAAGGCAACGCTAAGGAAAGGCTAGGATAAAGCTGGGTAAGGCCAGGGGAAAGCTAGGGCTAAAATTTAAAATTTTGAAAGTAAAAAAATATTCACATCTTTAACTTATAATGACAAAAAAATCTAGAAATCTTTCATTTTTTATCAATTTTAAAACTAAAAAAAAAATTTTTTATTTTTAAAAAAAAACTTTTTGCAAATTTAATGACCGACCATTTAAAACATGTAAAGATTAGATATCTTTATGTAAATGGCGCGTAAAACGATGTGTCAGTGCCTGGGGGAGAAAAAAAAGTTAATAGATGATAAACAAATCAACGTTCCTCGTCGTGACTGGACACCGAAGAATGACCAGTCATAAGTAAGCAAAAATGAAAAGTTTTTGGTTAAAAATAGATGAAAAATAAATGATATAGTCAGTCAGTAAAAATGACCATACTTTACCTTTTCCCACCTTACCCAACATTAAAAAGTCTTGTCGTATTTTAACAAGAAAAGCAGTGTTGAAAAACGACAAAACTTTTTTAAACAAATTTTTTGTCTTTTTAAACTTTAAAATTGACCCTAGATCTATCTTAACTTTCACATAAAATTTTTTTACCACTCTACCCCCAAAACACTATAAATCTTTTTCAACCCACCTTTTCAAACTCCTAAAACAACCCTGTTGAACACCCTCAAAACCCTTCAAAAAAACCCGAACTCTGGCCAGAAAAGGGCAGACGACCCCCCGCTCGTCCATTTTTGGCACGACCGGTCAGCGCCGGACCGCGTAGAGGTCAGTGGGCGACTGCCTACATCTGCACTCTCTTCTCTCGATTTGAAAAAAAGGTGCCGATTTTATGCATTCGCACTCGTTTCTCCGCCGATTAAAGGAGAAGAGAGATGTCTGTGTAGTAGAGAAGAATCTCTAGGTTTATATTGAGGTAGTTGGTCTTTGTGAAGTTAAATAAAACAAAAAATTGGAAAAATTCAAGTCCTGGCTCTACAACAGTCATACACTAGCCCTACCAGTACTGTAGATTACTGTATTTGGCTGTTTCTGCCATTTTAGATTACATAATCGCTACTTCTTATTTTACAAAAAAAACAACTTTTCAAAAATTTTTTCATTTTGTCTTATCCGTTCTTGTGGTCTTCCTCTCTCTCTAATTATTTAAATTCGGACTGCATTTGCCTTCTTTTCTATTGTTTGCACTTGCATTTCGGCAAAACCGCCGAGTTCGCTGGCCTCGAACGGAGCTCGAATTTGAAGAGAAGTTGAACTCAAAGACAAAGCAATTTGCGCGGATTTGGATTTGGAAGACTCAACAGTAAAAGAAAAGTACAAAGAACAAGCACTTGAAACATAACGGAGCAATAATAATCTTTTGCCTTGCCTTGCCTTGCAAAATCAGATCTCTTCTTACGTCTACCTAAAACAACATCTACTTTAATATATATTGACCCTAATCTTAGTACTTTTGAGTTTAAACCAAAACTAATTACCTCGTTAAATATGTACAACATCTGCGGCGCCGTAAAATATTCCAAGTTTTAGCGCGCATAAAAATCGATCAGTCTCGAGACGAAGGAACGGCATCTGGCCTCGGCGATCGGTCTTGTTTGCACAGGCCTATGCCGGCCAGGGTTTTGTGGTATCATAAAAATTATAATACCTTAACCTCATAA